TACTACTACGTACCTATAGTTAGTAAGAAGTAAATTATAGTATACTATATATATATATAATATATATATATATATATATATATATATATATATATATGTAATCTTCGATATTTCTGTATGTATGTATGTGTGTGTGTGTGTGTATGTGTGTGTATGTGTGTGGGTGTGTGTATGTGTGGGTATACTTGTTTGTGTGTTGATGCACTCCTGCGTGCACTAGCACGAGTCTAGAAATCTCGAAGCATATGCATAGATTGAAAATACAACCTTTTTTTGCGATAGCATGAACTAGCATGAGCATAAAAACCCTGAAATGATGGTATGAATATGTAGCGTTATTCCGCTTGCTACCTAATCTCAAATACAAACGCGTGATCATTCACCCTACCGGAGCCAATTACACACAACTACACAATATCTAAGACAAACAAGAGAGTATCAGCGATAGCCAGGCTATACCTCTAATGCCAAATGTAAATATGCTCCTTTTGAGTTTACACATGCTAACACACGCGAAACATAACACGAAACTCGATACCTTTTTCAGGTCTGGAAATTTTTCTCTTGCCACACCGTAGCGACCAGTCATGTTGTTTAGTTTCATATTGGCCTGTTCGACCCGAATCCGCATACCTAAAAGATTGCTCTCCTCAACAACGTGCAGCGATGCTACGGGTCGACCGCGTGTCTGAAATGTGGGGATGTAGTTTGGGGCGAAATTCAGATTAACGATGATTGCCAGATTCAGGGTAACATATGAAAAGATCACGTACATCAAAATTACAGTGTGTTGGTCGATCAAAAATGGATATGCTACAAGCACTTGATCTATATTTGAAAAAATGTGAAGTCAGCGATGTACCTTATACAAGCGTTGATGGCCGACATTGAGATCGTCAATGCAATAGCAGTCGAGCACTACAAAGAATATGTACATAGACAATATATATACAAGTGCATGATAACACCTGACACCTCTCAAAATGTCTATAGCGTACTGTACTCCCAACAATATACAATCATAGATCCAAATACACCAAGGAAAAGTACACCCGGCAAATTATACACTACCTTCAGGCACGAATTTCAGAGAAACGGACATAAACACCCCAACTTAAAGTGGCATTCAGAAAGAGGCATTGAAGATAACACTCAGACTGAAAAAATGGCATCAATAAGCGGAACCATACCGCACTTTCCGCCGTCATGAAGGAGAAGTGCAAAGGACTATACGAATGAATTTCGTCATTTCCCCCAGCCCCTTCACCACTTCCACTGCCACTATTCATTCCTCTTGTGCTCCCGTTACTCCCAATCTTGCTCCCACTACTCCCGCTACTCCTAAATTCTGAGGATCTTTTACTGTCGCGCCTATGCGGCTTCACAAAGCCTTCAAATGGTTCTTTGTATGATGTGTCACCCGTACTTGGTGTCCTGTTTGGACTAAAACAGGGGAGCGAAAATGGATGGCATCTGTATACTCGACTGAGCATGTCGATGTATATCCGCATTTGATTGAGTGTTGCGGTACTCTCTTTGGTTGTCTTGTCGTACGGTCGGACAAATCTGTGAAGTGTGGTCATTTCTTTCCGTTAAACTTATCTTAAAATTCCAGCCATATCGCTCAAATTTTTTGTTCTTCCTCGCCCATCAGCATATCGTACCAGATTGTACACATTCTAAGATCAAACACAGTCAAGCACACACAACCATAATCAACATTGTTAGTATTTTCACAGCTTATTTCGACCTCGCCATGCTATAGCTGACACGCTGACACACTGTTAGCGATGTAGCACAACAACGTCCGAACTACCGTACACTGAAAGTCGTGATTGGTGAAAATCACAATACTATGCAATCATCAATAGTCATGACACCTGTATGAAATCTTTCCCGTGCATCATCTAGAATTTGTGTAAACCATAATATATATCCGATGAGATCGCTGAAAATTCGAGTGGAAGAAGCACAGATAAACAATAGTCACGAGCTATACACAGGGAAGAGAACTTTTTAGAAGACACGCATCGTGTGCGTACGATACCATGGGTGCCATACGAGAGCCATACAGTACCAAAAACGAAAAGTGCAAGCACGGTAGTTTGCAAATACAGTGTGCGATTCGACCTACCGTTCGTAAACATCCTGTCCGGCTCTGAGTACTTCATCCCGAGCAGCCATCAACCCAGTGCACTGCGACTCCATGGCCCGCACACACGCCTTACAACTTGCCACACGCTTGCCTCCCAAAGATATCAGTCTTTCTGCGATATTTGACTATAATATATATAAATAATAAAAAT